GAGAATTACCTTCAAATCGTCAAATTGTATCACAATTGTAAATGCACCAGTATTCGGCTAGCAGAAGTCGCACCGGTAATCCTGTGCTCTGATTGGCTGAAAGGCCATGGTCTGATATGGCCTGACCAGGGTTTCTGTTGATTGTAGTATAGGAAACATGTGCCTGGCGTATTGAGATAATAAAATGTTGCAATTATCAATCTAGCAACGCTTTAAAATGATATTTTCATTGGGTAACCTAAAGTAACATGTTTTAATTACAAAGAAACTATAGTATTCAAATAGAACTGTTGTTATCCTGTCATTATCCCAGTATAGCTTGGAAAAGCTGCTTCTGGGATTTACCTCATCAAATTTCTGTAGGTCATTTTCACATAATGTATTCACGATAGCAGACGACAAAAGCCCTCTATTGACAGGCATAATCGCTTTTTTACTTTTTAAATAAAGTGGATTTGGGGGCATAAAGGTGTGGTCAAGCTGAAATACTAAAGCTCTGAAGTTTTTGAAGACGTAACTAAATTATGATTTAAATGAGAAGCAATGTGGACAAATAATCTAACGATTCTTTTTTTCTTCTTGTGTATCTCATTCAAATAATTGGTGCGCCGTATAGACTATTATAGTCAATAGTAAAGTGCCATAAATATTTTTTTTTAATCAACCAATTTGATTGTGAGACGAGACCATATATTATCGGAGGCGAATGCTGAGAGCTACACATAGTGTTGGACGCTGAATGGTGTTGTTCTGATATGCGAGGGCGGCTCCCCCAACACTTTTTTCAAGTTCCACAATAAAGCCTCTTTTTACATGGGGAGGGGGCACTTTCACCTCTGATTTTGACACGTGCCCCTTTTCCTTCGACAAGCTCCCACTTTCATTTGCAATAAGTGTTCATTTTCCATTCTAATAAGTGTCCTTTTCAATCTCTAGTAAGTGCCCCTTTTCAGGTACGAGAAGCGCCCCTTCACCCCTGATAATTGCCCTATTCAAATCTGAGAAGTGCCCTTTTTTCTTTGTAAGAAGTGCCCATTCCCCTTTAATAACTACCCCCTTTTAACTCGGGTAAACGCCCATTTTTTCCACATGTGCCCTTTTCCCTTTCTAATAAGTTTCCCTTTACTTATGATAAGTGCCCTCATTTGAATAAAAGAGCCCCTTCCCCTTTTCATAAATGTCGCTTTTCATCTCTTTTCAGGTACGAGAAGTTACTCCTTTTCACTTCAGAAAAGTGCCCCCTTCACCGCCGATAATTGCCCCTTTTCAAATCTGAGAGATGCTTATTTTCACCTCTTAAAAAGTGCCCCCCCCCTTTCACGTTCCCTATTTCCTTTCTTATAAATGCTCTTTATCCTTCTTATAAGTGCCCCTTCCCTTTCTCATAATTACCCCCTTTTCATCTCTGATAAGTGCTCCCATTATTTTAACATGTGCCTCTTTTTCTTCTCAATAAGAGCCATTCCCCCTTCTCATAAAAGCCCCCCAAGTTCACCTCCGATAAATGACCCAATGAAAACTCCTTTTCAAATGCACAATTTTTATTTTATCATAAGTGCCCTTTTCATATCTGGTCAGTTTTTTGTTAGTACTCTCCCCCCCCCCCCCCCACCCCCACTTCAGCAGTCGCTCAGCCGCCCCTGTATTAGGTGGGCATTGGTTGTGTGCGCTTTAAGAAAATATAAAAACAAATTATTGTAGTCTTCGCCAAAGAGGGTGAAAGGGCACTTATTTATTTAAAAATTGACCCTTTTAAAGAGAAGGAAAAAGGGGCACTGAAAATGGGCATTTTTCATGGGTAAAAAGAGGCACTGTTGGGGTGTATGCAGGCAACAGCGGGGGTACTGTGCTCAGCCGCCCCTGGTACATGATAGTAATAAAGCCCATGGGTCGGACTAACCACTTACGCGAACATCCAACCCCTCATCTCATTATTAAAAAGTTTTTCTTTTTCTTTTTCTGTGGGTCAAAAAGACAACAGTTCAAAACCTTTAAGCCTCCATCCTTTTCGATTCGATGGCCTCTTTGAAACTGCATAAATGATATGCTGTCGATTTTTATTTCTTAATTTGTCCTTTTACCTGAAGTCATTGGCTTAATACAAATGATCCCCTTCATCTACTACATGCATGTAGGTTTTAGTTTATAATTGTGATAAATATTAAACTTGATAATAAGAGGAGGAAGAAGTAGTAGGAAGAACAAGAAGGAGGAACAAGAAGCAGAAGGAAAAAAAGAAGGAAATATTAAAAATAATGGGAATAGTATGCCTAATTAGGATTATAATGAGAGGTCATAAGGAGTAATGGCAAGCTGTCAGGCCTGTATGCTGCGATATTAATCATCTTATAGACTATATAGTTCACCTACTACGAGGCGTTGCAAAAAAGTTGCGATTGATTGCAACTTATATTTGCAATAGATTGCAACTCAACTTTCTTGCAATGCCCCACTAGTCTCCTAAATTTCCTAGGATTTTGTTAGGATTAAAGGTTTAACGATTAAAGTTTTTTTTTTTTAATCTAGCTTTTATTTCCCCCCCCCCCCCAAATCCCTCTCTCTCTTTCTCTCTCTCTTACTAATGGAGCGTTGCAAGAAAGTTGAGTTGCAATCAATTGAAAATTTGAAATTAATCGAAAGACTAACGCTTGATTTTGGGGATTTGCAATCAATTGCAACGTTCATGCAACACCCCTGTTCAACAGAAACTTGGAAAGAAACAGACAACACTGATGGTATCCGATTTGATTTTGTTTTATTTCTGCATTTTCAAAATACAATAACTGAAAAACAAAGAACAATAAACGTAAGGTATAATACAAAATATACAAACAATAATAACTTCATATCAAAATATTTTTTTAACATATATACATATAATAACGATACTTAATATTTCTACAACATATTATTATAAATTTAAAGTATTATCCGAACTAGCTGTGGAAAAAGTGCAGGAGACCATAATCTTAAGCGATGCTTTGACTAATGGATAAGTTTTTTTTCCATTAACTGTCCTTGAGTCTGAGGTGCTTGTGAGACGAACTGGAACGAAACAAGATATTTTTTTTAGTGGTTGAATTACCAAAAGTGTGATGTTGTTTTTCTACAGCAGACATTTTGGTCATCTGGAGTCAACTATAGTCTCTAAATGGAATGGTAAATGTGTATTTAATCATGGATCAAAACACGCAAAGGGTGTTGCAATTTTACTAAGTAAAAATATTAAATTTAAGTTATTAGACACATATTCTAAAATACTGGAAGAGCAATCGCTATGACAAAAGCAAATCTTTTGTAGGGCTCCTACCAAACAGACAGAAAAGGATTTTTATTTCAAAGGTCTACTAGATTGGCTTTTAAATTTAAAGGGCAAAATTATCAAGTAATTGCTGGAGGAGATTGAAACTGTATTTTTTTTTTAATTGATGCTCTACTAGGATGGCGGCCTCATAAGAAATATCTTAAGGCGAAATATAAAATGAAAATAAGTCTAAACGATCTTTGTGTATGAGTTTGTGAGTGTGTTGTGCGAGTGTTAATTGTGTGAGTTTGTGAGTGTGTTGTGCGAGTGTTAATTGTGTGAGTTTGTGATTGTGTTGTGCGAGTGTTAATTGTGTGAGTTTGTGAGTGTGTTGTGCGAGTTTGTTGTGCGAGTGTTAATGTGGTGAGTTTGTGAGTGTGTTGTGCAAGTGTTAATTGTGTGAGTTTGTGAGTGTGTTGTGCGAGTGTTAATTGTGTGAGTTTGTGAGTGTGTTGTGCGAGTGTTAATTGTGTGCGTGTGTGGGTGTGTAAGCGTGTGCGTATGTGTGTGTTGCGAAAGGTGGATGTGAGTGAACGTAGCTCTCTGTTGTATGGTGGAGTGGAAACAAATGTAGCCTTTTCAACAAAGAATATGAAATATGCGAAAAAGAGTTGCAACAAGACCAAAATTCAAGGTCAAAATCTCCACCCAAGAGTCTCATGAAAGATCAAGTAGATCTCCTTCGTTCTCATGGCGTATTGTGTGAAGCATTAGTTTCAAATATGACACCAGAAGGTATGAAAAGTAAGAGAAAAATTGCTCTTTCATTCACTCGTCATACCCATTGTACTGAAATGGTGCCCTGAAAAGATGTAAATATTGTCATCCATTAATTCAAATCTTACAAAGATTGTGTAATTATTTAACCTTTAATTCACATACCGGTAGATGTAAGATCTGGACACATCACCATTCTTTTTGCATCGCCTGAAGCTGTGGAGGTTATGGTAAACGAGAAGTACTTCGAGCGGCTGAAGGGGCAATTCTGCTTGCTAGCTTTTGAAGAAGCACATATGCATTTCAGTGAAAGAATAAATAAGGATACCCGGCAATTTGCAAATAATAATCACATCTACTGGCGTACTGTAGGGAGGAGTGGGGGGGGGGGGGGAGCTGCCCTGAAAAAAATGCAAGAAAGGTCTGCATTTCCTCAATATTATCAAAACATTTCCTTGAGTTTTTAGGCGATTGAACTTTTTTTTATTCTAAAATTCCTCAGTTTTCCTGAAGCTTTTTCTTCTTGCTTGTCAGCAGTTGAACCTCCTTAAAAATGATAGCACACCGCCCCTAAAAAAAAGGATTGGTTCATTACACCACTGATTAGATAAGATAGAATTTCCTGTATGCATACGGTTCAAGGACAATTAACCCTTACCTAAACAACCAGCTACTAGGGAGGACAATTAATTGACTTCCGGCTGAGTTATTGGAAGGTAGCAGAATAGTGAGTCTTGTAGAAGACATTCCCACATTGGCACTGACTGCGACCGCCACACGGGACATCTATCATGACATATGCTCAGTTGTTGCAATGAGTGACGACAACACACATTTGGTGGCAAGAATTCCTGACCGGTTGGTATATTTCTAGTTTCTACGAGTATGTTTAGGGTGAGACACGGAAAGTCACACACCTACACACACTCACTACGTAGGCATACCAAAACTTCATGAAACAACAATATGTTGACTGATAAACTCTTTTGATGAACTTCATTATTTTCTCTAAATAATATACGAGTTTTAACATCTGAACATATCTGTTCTCACACTGTTAAGGCACTGCGTTTTATATCAGAAGAAAATTCAATATTCTAAATTACCTCCATACTATTCTGATCGAAGAGTAAATGTAGTTAAGAGGCAAGTTATTAAAAACACCTATAAATATAAAAATAACATGATGCAAAGGGAACTCACTGGAAACACAAGAGATCAACTTCCTATTCAGTTATTAGAAGTGATGTCATTGTAAAACTATGTTAAGTTCATTAAGTTTGTTATTAGACATCAGTGTCACTTTTTAATTACCGGTAAATGATTTATAATGCTTTGTTATTTTGAAGAAGATTTGGATGTTAATAAATTCCTCTGAATCATGAGAAGAAAACAAAAATGATTTTCCTTATATCTATGTTGCATAAATTAATGATATGCATTTATTCTCTTAATCCTGCGTGCTATAAAACAAGTTTTACTTTTTCCTTCTAAGTTAAACTGGACATGTCTGGTCTCAACATCCCAGACAGAATTACTGTTAGCCTGAAAAATCAAATCTTTACAAGATCAATTATTACATTTCCATACCTGTATAAACATGGAATGCTACAAGAAATAAATAATGTTCTCATTTCCTTTTGCAGACCCAACATATATCTCCACAATCAACAGACTTCCCAAGGTCCCTCAAAATCCTTAGGCTGGCTAATCAACAACATCAAGACTACTGGACGTAAATCAAAATAATCAGTTCATTGCTCTGAAAGTTACATACATGACCAAAGTTTGGCAGGAATCCATCAGTCGGTTCTTGAGATATCGCGATCACGAAAACGGGACGCATGGACAGACAACCCGAAAACATAATGCTTCTGGCTACTTCGCAACAGAGGCATAAAAAGAAATAGTGTGCACTGTCAATATGAGGCAATGTAAACATTTCTATATGTGGCTGATGTCAGAACTTGGCAGCCATGCGTATGCGGATGAAGTAAAAAGGACAAACAGAATGGTGGACACGATCCACAGCAAGATAGAGGAAGAAGATGTGAAAAGAATAAGAATGGAATTCCCCAAAGGTACCATCAGAGAAGTGGTGGCAACAGTGGCCTTTGGCCTAGACATTCAGGTCACAAGATGTTGATGATGTCGTGAACTGGGGAGTGGAATAAATGGGCAGATGCACTTGTGACGGCCATCAAGGTTACTCACTGATGTATGCATATCCTAGATCTATTAATGACTGTACCTGCGAGACAGTAAAAAGGATCCTTGCAGAGAGAGGTTGTATCGGAAGCACCATTCTGAAGAATTTCAATCTCCCAGGAATAGAGGACAGGAATCAGGATTTCCCACAACATAACGAGAAGCGTATCATGTGATAGTGCAGGAAATGCCTTTGATGCACTTTCTGCACAAACAGTTGTCCTGGTAAAGGAGGTGGAAATATTGAAGTGACAAATCTTCTCCTATCAACACGTACAAAGATAAGGATAATTCAATGATAACTTAAAGGGGAGAGGATGGTAGGAGGAATGCTTCATAAAGTGTTTCTTGAGATTCTTCTTCTTCAACTGACACATTTGCATGAGCTACGTCCATTCCATGGACGCGTTGTAGCTTGTGATTTTCTATGCACTCAATGAATATATCCGGCTGTGTTAGAGCATGTTTGAATACAAAATCACTAAAGCCAGCATGACTCCTTCCTGGGAGTTGCTCCAAACAGTTATGCTCCAAAAGCAGTTTCGCCAGCTCCAACGTGCCTTCCTGCGTGTTTCGACTTCCATGGTTGGTTTTGGGCAAGTGCACATCAAAGTTACACTTAAAGTCCTTATGAATACCTACCACTCTGCTATAATGCTTCATTGTACTCGGAGTGATGTTTCCACTGCATGACTTGACAGCAACTTTGAATTCTTCTTTGAGATGATCCATTGCCAAGTCCATGGATATGTTGTGACCTCTTCCACCACGCACGTTCACTGTTCGGTTCCATTTCAGTTGATGCGCCACACGCTCCGGTACACCGCCATTCATGTCGGTAAGCAGATGGAAACCTTCAATGAAATATTTCGGGTGCTGCATGTTGTAGAAGTCTACCATGTCAAATCGCCAATGAGAAATGATACGATCACCATCATTTTCTCTGATCGCATCGTATCGCGCCCTTTCTCCCAGCCCCCTAAAGAGCATTGCTCTGGAATACTGGAAGACATGGTCATCGGTAGCGTGGAAGACAAACACTCTTTTTTTCTTCTGTGATGCTTGAGAACACTCTATGGAACAGTAGTACTTATCCTCTGGTACATCTTCTAGTGACATATTCATGCAGGAAAGGTGAAACCAAGATCCACGACGACATGAAGGGTTCTCACAAAACAACATATCATCCTCAATATCGGTGTGACAGATGCAGTATGGATACGCATGGATCTCGCTTTCAGGTTCTTCCATATGCTGGACTGTAATCTCTGGTTTGTCCAAATACTGGAATGCAATCTCCACCACTAACTCAACAACATCTTGAAAATACAGCAATCCTTCATCTCCTTCTGGAAGATCTTTTGGCATCTTGCTTGGATCATCGATCTCAACATGCAAACAGGCGGCGGCAACCACATACGCTTCCGTAGAAAGTTGCAATAAGTCTGTGGCGGAGTTGAAGGCGTGAATCACTTTGTCTGGATTAAATTTCCGATGGCCAAACTTGTTCTTGATGAAGCTGAGTGTTCCAACGTCACCCGAGCTGCGCACATCATACAGCAATTTGTAGGTATCCTGTTGAGGGCAACATAAGTCACAAATGAGGATCAATATAAACAATTATATCCCACATACTAAGAATCTTGCTCTATGACTGGTGAAAAGTAAATCACATGAGGAAAAATAGTTCGCCCATTATTGATGGGAGAAGCAAAAAGTTTGTTACACTGTGTAGATAGTACTACTATCTACACAGTGCAAGCACTTTTATTGAAGACAGAGATACCATCTACAAAGGGCAACGCACTTTCACTGAAGATTATCCAAGCGCGCACTAAAACAGGCATAATTAAGCGCGCATTACCAATGAGCGCAATTTAAAAAAACACATGCGCGCACCTTACCCTCAAGGGGTTGTGTTAAACTTAAACTTTTTTGGTGTGAATTTGGGCCCATGTGTCTTTTATGTAGATGCATACACGACCTTTTCTTTTTGTAATTAAATTGTTTTAGATGTGGAATATAAAGCAAATAATCACCTTTTGGTTTTCAGGCGATGGCAAACTATCACTTCCTTGTCGATCAGAATATATACGCTATCTTTCCTCAGCTTCGCTTCGGAAAGATAGCTACATCCAGCTCGCCTCGGAAGTGATAGTTTGTCCCATCACCTTCACCAACGGTAATTATTTGCTTACTATGTCTGCACTGAACTCCACTATGAACATGACAGACAAAGAAAGCAGACAAAATATGCAGTTCCTCATTCTACCCTCAACAATTCCTATGGTAGACAAAGGAACATCCCTTCACTGCTATTATGTAAAAATGTATAGAACAGGTGAATATGTATGTGACACATGTTCTACAGATTTTTACATAATAGCATGGAAGGGATGTTCCTTTGTGACCTGTGACCTTTGACCTCATGACCCCAAAATCTAATCAATTCATTGGCTCTGCAAGTTACATACATGACCAAAGTTTGGTAGGAATTCATCAATCAGTTCTTGAGATAACGCGATCACAAGCTAATTTTGCATACATAATGAGCCCTGTGACCTTTGACCTCGTGACCCCAAAATCTAATCAGTTCATTGGCTCTGCAAGTTACATACATGACCAAAGTTTGGTAGGAATCCATCTGTCGGTTTGTGAGATAACGCGATCACGAGAACGGGATGTACGTACATACGTACGGACGGACGGACAACCCGAAAACATAATGCCTCCGGCTTCTTCGTAACAGAGGCAAAAAAATGTTGTCTTGTAAAGTTCCATTAATTTCATACAAAATTTTAAAAAAGGTAGAGTGCCAACATACCTCTAAGAGAAGGCCACGTTTGTGCCTTTCTTGGATCGAGGGATGAAGACCCTCCAGGCGGTCGAACGAGTTTGTCGCGTTTCTTCTGGAATTTAGCGCATCACGTGCGCGTTCGCATCTAAGTCCATCTCCATACAGCACTGTGGTGACTGGCTCGCCATCTTGGTAGGGTACAAGGCCGTGATAGCTCTGGAGAATGTCGACCATATCGTAAGTTTTTGCATCGTCTTTCATCAAGACACCTAACGGTACCTATGCAATAAATGTAATAAATGCAAAATGATCAATATGAAATGATGTTGTAATTATGAAAGTGCCTGTTGCCATAGATATTTTGGTGTGGGTCAAATTATGCTAATCATAACTATCTTCACAGAATATCTTGCTATAAATTTAAAAGATATGGATGTAAGCCCCATCTAAAAGCCTCATTTCTAATAAAACCTACCAGTATCTCAATTGGCAATGATTTCACTTCATGTGACCCCTTGCAATTCATTACGGATAATAGTTTACAAATATCCGGACAAATGAGCAGTAACTAGATTCGAAGGAAGACTACACGGAGTGTTGACTACGCTCAGTTGAATTGAACGTCTCTGCCCTGAACAGAATCGGAACACATATATCGCACAATCGTTTTTCAAATCTCTGAAATACCCTTTCTAAATCAATTAGAAATTGATGAAACATTTCATCACTTCTTATTTCGAATCGGATAAATATCTTTAAAGGCAACAAATTGATCTCCAGATGCTGCACTTGTTGATGAGGATCGACCAAACACTTACTATTTTACTCTTCTGCTTGGATTCTTTGAAGTATGGATGTGGTATGTGGTTTTTGACGTGCTCAGCGAATCGTTGAAAGCAAGGCATCAGTCGTGTTAGAATCCTTGAGACTATGACAGTGTACTCTTGTCTGAAATTAAAAAAAATTATACGTTCTGTTTATGAGGTGGACGTCAACGCTACTTCTCATATTAAAGTCACTACATGCAGCGTATTATTTGCTGCCACAATGCTACATTGCATATGAAGTTAAGCAGTCATCGGTATATATGTGAAATGCTTTGAATTGCAAAAAAAAAACAGAATTCAAATTACTTTAAAGGTAATACAAAGTTTTGGTATGGGGTCATGAATTTGGTTCAAATGACCATATTGGAAGCATATGCGATTCTACAATATTCAATGATCGTTGTCGCACTTAAAATCGGGTCTTAAGCGATGAAAATGTAAATAATAAACTTTAATGTTGTATAGCTCCCTCTGAAGGTCAAGATATTTATTTAGCTATAAAACAATGTTTCTTGACTAAAAATCGACCGATTGGCTGTTCCCGTTTGGAAATTATATATCACAACTACATATTCTGAGATTTCCATGGTCGCAGCTACCATTGTATGGCCGTAGGTGCTATTTGAAATTCATCAAAATTTACCGGGAGCACCAGTAAGTTTTGATATTCAATTTTGTGCTTATAATACATCCACAGGGGCATCAAAATATATCAAAATTGTAAAGAATCACTATCCAGCCAATTTTCAAAATTTCCCAAAACTTTGTATTACCTTTAACATACTCAGGGGTGATAGTGAGAGTTTAAAAAAATTGGTATTAGAAATCTGAGCACTCGCGCAAGGCATTTAAGCAAGTCATGACAAAATGGCATTCAACCCCCCCCCCCCCCCCCCCCCCCCATATTTTAAACTGGATTTACAACGATTGCAGGGAACATCCATTTTTTGAGAAAAAAAATCATGATTAATTTTTTTTTTTAAAGAATCAGGGGAAAAATAATAATCAGGAAACTGATTTAAATCTGGAAATGATCAGGCCTGCATACTGTTCATCTCATCTAATAAACTATGATGCATTAAAGTGTAGCTAGCGTGTATGAAAATGAATAGTAAAGATAAGCATAGGTCATACCTAAGGAGGGTCTCATCACTGTCATTTGGTAAGTACACCTGGGGATCTATCCGCAGAATGTCGTTGGCGGTGGGAGGAGTGTCACTCAGAAGGTAGGAGGGCACACGATCAAACGCTGCATATGCCTTCACCATTTTGAGCTCCTTGTTACCCTTGTTGCCCCTATTGTACCTGTCGTGCATCATCTGGCTGGCATTGTCAAATACTAGGGTGTACCCAATTTTGGCAGGCTCCGTTCCATCCGGGGGCGAATCTATAACAGAAAATATAAATTTTGTTACAGATAAATTAAGTTGAGTTCTAGTCATGCGATTGCATTGTGAAAGAAAAGGTGTGGAATGGATCAGAAAACGTTGATCATGTAGCATGTAAGTATTGGTGTGTACTGCAAGGTTCTGGAGTCATCAAAATCATTTAATTTGGCCCAGTCTTGGTAAAGGAACAAGCACTGTACACAGACAGATGTATATATGGGACTACATCAATGGTGTCAGGCCTACTATTACCTTAATTTCCTTATCTTTCTACGCTTATTACTCAGCCAGTATACATTTTCTACCAAAATTGTTTGGCAAATGACATTTATTTGTATTCAGTGTAAGTTTCGTTTTATTCTGTGAGAATTCATTTTCTTTTTTTACCAGAACTCAAGTTTACTTTTAATTGCGTTGAAAGGGTGTAACTCGTCAGCGCCATAAAGAACAAAACAAAACAAAAAGTGCTTACCATCCATTGTCTCATCCAGATTGTCCGGAGATTCGTCAGTTCTGCCCATTGAAGTAGTCTCTTCTGGATTTTCAGGCCCATCCGCTTTGTTGCTGGAAATGGAACTTTCCACTTGGTTTGTTTCAGCTGCATTAGATGGGTCGCTGAATGTTGCCAGCTCTGTCATTGTAAGAATAGCAAGGAAATAATCTTGGGTTATGTACAAATAAATCTTCATTCAGGATTATCAAAAGTTTTAGTGGGGTTTTCATGAACACTATAGGCCTATATATATTTGATCAAGTACAGGGGCAGATCCAGGATTGTCAGAAGGGGGGGGGGGGGACACTCATGTGGAAATTTACTGACAGGCAAAGTATAACACATGCGTTTATGAGCACCTTTCGACGAAAATGGGGGGGGGGGGGTGGCAGGCCGGGAGTTTCCCCTCTAGATCTGCCACTGATAAGTATATAACTCCACTGTTCCCATCAGGAATGGCTCTATACTTAATTATGGTATAGGACTTTGAGATGTGAAAAAAAAATGGAATAATATCTCCAAATACATGCTTATTTTCAACTAATAATTGGATATACCTGAGCTGAGTGAGCTCCCCCGATTCATTCTAACATATTCATATTCATTAGTGAGCCAAAATACTATAGATTTGAATGTTAAGGCTTTTGGGGAGACAAAGGAGTTTCAATTGCGTCGGTTCACATATTTTTCTGACTTGTTTTCAATCGATGAAAGAGACAGAGAGTCATCAATGTAAGCTGCATCCAGCTTTTCTTCATTCAAGACTTCGTAATCATTCTCAGCAGCTAAAATATCTTATTACGACAAAAAGATCACTTTGATTTATTATCACTAAACTATATCACTAAATGACCGTCATTTGGTATTGATGAAAATAAGTATGCTGTAAAAGACATTGAAAGTCAGAACACATTTACTCTCGGGCATTTGTTTTCTTTTGTTTCCTTTTTGTTTTAATTTTCGCTTTACCAGTATGCATACAATTTTTGTATGGGTTCAACCATAATTTCTGGACATAAGATAATAACAATAATCATACTACTACTACTACTACTACTACTACTACTAGTAATCATAACAAGGAATAATTTTCCTCAAATTTTTTGATTAGCATTTTCAGGCGATGGATAAATATTTCAAATGAAATTCTGTACATTTCTATGGAAGAAAACTGCTACACAAAAGATATTTTGTATAGCAGTCATGCAAAAATGCATAGCAAATTGCGATGCGATACCAGGAAAATTATTCCCTGCATAATAATAATAATAATAATAATAACAATAAGGTATGTGATTGACAAAAAGAAACATGCCTGGTTCTTGTGCTGTTATTGGAGCCTCACATGCTTCTAGTTCCTTTTTCTTTTCCAAGATGTCACGATCAGATTCCTTGATCATAGTGTCGATGCAGGTTGCTGTCCTATCCATGAATGTGCACATACCGAGACCATTTAACCTCTGGAATGTCTGTGAAATACAGAAATGGAAGGGGAGGGGGCGTCAAATGTAAAGTTAAACTCTGACCAAGATAAATTATACAAAATTGCAAGTGTTTTTCATTTCATCAACATTCCCTATATACCTAGGTTACAAGAGCTGCTACAAACTTGAACATGTATTGGAGTGGCCCATGCAAGACTATTGACGGTCAATCAAGCATGATCAAGCACGACATCTCGAGCAGCTCAATTTTAGTACGGGTGCTTAAGCATTATTATGTCATCAAATGCACAGTTCAATATTGGTGACAAAAATGAAAAAGAAGGTAAAGCTTAAGTAAAGCTTCTGCCCGAAAATAGGCTAATGGTTGCCCCATTCCTTGACGGGTTTTACCCAGATATTGAGATTTGAAACTCTTGTGCCCCCACTGCTCCCTCCTAGTCCCAGGTCCATGTAGGCCTTGAACAAAAGCAAGTTAAATAAGTCACCTCGCAAAAAGGGATTTGGATTACCAAACAAACAAACCAACAACAACAAAAAAACAAAATACCAGACAATAAATGGAGATGGAGGTACATATAGGCCTAATATATGTGGCTTTCCAAAGTTGATTATTATCATAATGCATTTGCTGTATAACAATTAAGTTCTGCTCATTAATGTTATCTAATAACTTGTGTTTCTTTTTAGTAAGGTCTATAATTACCTCACGTCCACAGTTGGAGAGCCAAAGTTGAATGCCAACGAGCTCTTGCAACAGTCTCATTGTTTTAGGGTTTCCCATAAACGCCAACATCCCGAAGATTGCTCCTACTGCAGGTCTCACATGACGAGCGATTCCACTGCTTCCCCGAGATCGGCGGTCGCTTTTTCCGTTAGCCGTTGCAGCTCCGATTATGGCTGCATGCAGGAAAGGACACTGTTGCCTTGCTTCTGAAAGCGCTTCTTTCCAAGAGAATGACTGAAAGCTTTGGAGTTTTTTTCCTTCAGTAGAGCTCCTCCACACAGACCTCGTCGACGGTTTGCAAATATTCCGGATCTCAGCTCGAGTTGCATCTTGAACAATCTTTTGTACCGCTCTTGTGAAAGCTGCGCTCTTATTTTTGAGAAGTTTAAACGCACGCCCATATTTGCTGCTCCTCACATACTTAGCCGCGAGTTTCTAGAACAGAAGCAACCGGGAAAAAAATACTTTGAATTTGGGAGGCTACTTTTTAAGCTTGCTTGCATGAAAATAACACTCTTTAACTTGTTTTGCATTGAACTCTATACAATTTTTTGGGGCTCTTTTATGACTTTCGGGGGCTAATTTGCCCCGAGCCCCCGTGTATTTTTTTTACTGAAAAGCAATAAGTTAATGGTGACATGTTTTTTGCTTTAAAGGGCCCCTCTAATCAAAACGGGGCTTAAAATTGAAAAAAGATATAGGGTCTGCAGAAGAGTTTTTGAGGAGGATTCCGAATATGACAATGATTTTTCTTAGGTATCATCCATAATTCCGGAATCTAGCTTTAAAATGATTGAGTCAGATCGACCGCTCAGTTTTGGAGCTATATTATAGGACATGACGTCACTGCAGGAGAAAACATTGCAGGTAGCCATGCAGGTACGCATCAAAAGTATACGCAAATAACATTTGTGTCTGGAGAATTCTTTCCCCGGTTTTTTAGATTGTAAGGACACTTTCGCAAATTTACCCCTATTTTACCATAGAATCTATTTCAACTTCAAGGACAAGACTCGGCTCCGAGAATTTCTCTTCCCAGTTTTCTCTTTTCCCTTTCCCTGACCCCTATTTATCAATTTTGAGGACACCTGTGCACCCCTACCCGTATTTTCTATATTTAGTGGAATATTTTGTCCGCGGACATTGCTTGAATTTAACCCCTTTTTCCGTGATTTTTGTAACGGTCATTTGGTCCGGAAGTCACATTGAGTGACCCCAACGGGTAGTAGACTACATTACTCACTCTCACTTGTAGTTGTACTTGTCCCAAGTGGTTGGAGTGGCTTTCGATCTCCTGACATTGACATCGAGTATAACGTGGGGTCTGTGTTTGTATGTCACTTGATCCTGTTGATCTTGAAAACCTAGGCTTCTTCAGAGGGCGTCTTTGGAAGTTATACTTGTACTTGTAGATCGCTCTTGGCCACATGGGGTACGAGCGCAGGAGCTTGCGGATGAGGGTGTCGAAATGGATACTACTCCTCTCAAAGTTGATATGAACTCTCTTAACTCGCGACCTATGTAAGCAGTTGGGGCTGATTTGTCGTACAGTTTGGATAAGGCAACGTCGAAGTCATGCCGTTTAGCTGTTACAGATGACAAAGTTAAACGACATGCCCTACAAATAATAAGTGGGCATGGGCCTTGGCCTAACGAATACGAATGTTCGTCTTTTGAGTTTGAAAGAGGCACGCGCACGCCCCAATTATTTTTGAGGACTTCTGCAATAGATAAGTTTGTGTTTTTAAGCAGTTTCGAAGTCAATCTGTACTTATTATTTGGAACCTGAATTTTATTTGCACAAAGAATGCACGTCCGGGCCATGACTGTATCACGATCTCTTCAAATCGTCAAATTATATAGTATTATCTGGACACCAATTCTGAGAACGTTCTTGTCACCCCTTCGCTGTATAGCCGTACGTACGTACTGGTAGTAGCCGCTCCGAGGCTCTATAGCTAGCTCACTAGTCCGCGCGCTATTTGCAAATCGCGCGCGCTCAGATCAGAGATAGAGAGAGAGAGAAAGAGAGAGAGAGAGAGAGAGAGAGAGAGAGATCTATATAAGAACACTAGAGGGCGTACTCGCTCAGAACAGGTCGCCCGCCATCAAATTTGCGCTGTGCACGGCTGTGCACGATATCCAGGGCTAGGGTTATCCAAGTTGAGTTTCGGTGTTTTTTCTCCTTCTAGCTGGTTTTGAGAGATATCACAGGCGCGGATCAGGGTGGGGGGGGGGGGGGAGGGTCGAGGGGGCCTTGGCCCCCGGGCCCCCCTCGCCAAAAGAGAGAGAGAGAGAAAGAGAGAAAATTAGAACGAAAGGGAACGAGGAGAGAATGAGAGGGAAATCATAAAGAAGAGGAAGAAGAAAAGAAAACGGGGAAAGAAGGAGATCGGGGGGGGGGGGGGGGGGCGAAGGGACCTTGCTTCCCAGGCTGTTGCCTTACCCCCCCCCCCCCCCCCCGTAGTAAAACAAAGAGAGATGGAAGGAAATGTAAATAAACAAAAATAGCCAAGTGACTCGCCATGAAAGAGGAAGATGAATGAAAGTACTATATTATAGGGGATAGGGGGGCAAAAGGCCATTGCCTCCCCGCCCACCCCCCCCCCCCTCCCCACAAAAAAAAGGAAAAGGAAGGAAAATGGAAAGAGGAGAGCTAAAAGAGAACAAAAAAAAGGAAGAAGAAAAGAAGAGAAGAGAGTCAGTTGCGTTAACCCCGATGCCTTGAGCCATAATGCATGGCCGTATAGAAAAAAATTATGTTGGGGACCGGGGGGAAATTCAATGAATAATTGATAATTTATTGCATTTTCTTTTTTTTCATTTTTTATTTGTGGGAACTGCCCCCTACCCTAGCCCCCGCTGCGTACAGTCATGGTTCAGTGGTAAAGCAATGACCTCGTAACTGTGAGGCCCCATAGGATCCGCCACTGACCCCACTGTCCACTGACCACACTCGTATACGCTTCTCTCACTTGCAACATTTTGAATTTCTGGGCAACGAGATGCCCGATAATATCCTCTCATTTGTAGGCCTATAAAATTATCGAGGTGACCGAATATACAATTTCTATGTCCATGGAAATTCGGGGGCAAGGTGCCCGCATACAGTATTATAATTATATCTAATGTAAAAAATTTCCATGTTAACAACTTTTTTTGTTGCTCACTCGCTCTTAAAGACAATCTTGAGTGTTTTGACGAGTGCCAGAGTTATGCAAAATTAATCTTCTGTGATAAATTGGGGTGAAGTAAATCTCCCGTGACTTTAAAAAGTTGAAAAACGCTGCCAGCAAAGACGGACCAGTGTCTCAAAATTATTAAAATCCGAGAAAAGTGTTTAAAATCTTTGTATCTTTCATCAAACCGCAACATTCTATCCACGGTGAACCACTGCCCACATTCACCTAAGGCATATAGACAAGTTTTCTCTATAAGATGAGAATTGATCTCCGATGAGGCTTTAACAAAGTCCTTTCAATTTTCTGTCCCCACCCTCACCATCAGTTTGAAAAACGCCGAGATAACGCTATGCACGTGTTTAAAGTATACGGTAAAATTGGTTCCGGTGTGACCGCGCCGTTTGTCCTACCAGTTTCGTTTGTCCGTCGGACATAATATGCGGGTTTTCTGCTCGCACGGATCGTCCGAGGGACGATCCGTGCGGTTTGCTATCCGCGCAGTCTGTCCCCCCATTGTTTTACGTGTATTGATAAAAGGAAGAAACTCGGCAAATCAATGTATTTAGACTCATTGTAAATCATGTGGTTGGCATTTTTTCTAGAAATTACATAATAATAACTCTCTACAATTTTTTAAAGCAAATGGACCAGTCCTTTTGAAAGTAGAAGTGAATATTTTCTTTAAAACCTTTATTCTATGAAGGCGTACTCGTGATATCGGCCCCACAATTACTGTTGTAATCGATTGTACGTGGCTTCGTACTTACGGTCAGATGAGCATATTTTAATACCATATTCATGACACTAGCAGGTCACTAATTGGCGTATGGACCAAGGGGCGGAGCCCCCGGAAGCGCAGGGGTTTTAGGCATTACAATTAAGGTCAGATTAGCATCCAGGGGCCAGCCTTAGGGTCCAAGATGGGGACCAGGGGCAGAGCCCCCGGAATTAGCTCAGGGGTATGGGCATTTAATTGCGGTTACATGAGCATACTTTCTTTTCTATTTCTTTCTATTTAATTATCTTACTTTTTCAAAAGTGTGGGGGTGGGAGGGGGGGCTTGAGCCCCAAAGCCCGCCGTTCCGCGGGACCTGACATGTCGGCCTCTAAATAGTAAATAAGCACATTTCTTGCCTGGCTGTAAATTATTATATGTCATTCTTCAACAAACGCATACAAAGTATAATTTACTAAAAAGCGAGGAAAAATCCCGGAAAATTAGGCCATTTCAGCAACATCTGTATATCACTAGTATCAAATTAGAAAGAAAAAAAAAATCACTTTTAAAGTTCATTTTGGTGGGGGGGGGGGTAGGAACTGGCTGAATACTTACACCTATATGGTATCGAGGGGCTCTCTCTTCATTTTTTGTTCGGTAATAAATAAGGTTAGTTTGAGTGGGTGTCACTCAGGCGCGGATATACGGGGGCGATGGACCGCCCCCCCCCCCCCTCTTTGAAAAAATAAGAAAGGAAAGGAAAGAAAAAAGAAAGGAAAGGAAAAAGTAAAGAAAGAATGGCTAAAAACACGAGTTAGAAGTAGACCCAGCATCAGGGCACTCAATTATCCGTATCAGGAGGAAAATACACGGGGGCTCGGGGTGAATTAGCCCCCGAAATGCCGAAAAGAGCCCCCGAAAGTCATAAAAGTATTTTTTCTCTGATCCGTATATAGGACAAGGCCCTGGGGCAGGTAGCCATACTCCGATATTTGGGTCTTTTTCCGATCAGAACTAGCCCTAACTATCATTCCAGGATTTTTTGTTTCAGAACCTAAGACAAAGTTACCCAGTCCTTTAAGTTTCAAAAAGTAGACTTCATTGAACTGTAATTAGGCTTAGGAACCGGGGGAGGGGGATGGGGGCACAGCCCCTCCCCCCAAAAAAAAATATGGGGGTGGGGGGCTCAAAGATCATTGAGCCCCCCCCCCCCCCCAATATTTTTGGCGGGGCTTATAGATATCATTAATTGAGCCCCCAATCTTTTGGTGGGGCTTAGATATCATTGAGTCCTTAGGGGCTAAGATACCATTGAGCCCCCAATATTTTAAGTGGGGCTCAGATATCATTGAGCCGCCCCCGAGACTTATTGCGGGGCTCGGATATCATGAACCCCCGTCCTCCCCAATGATTATATTCTAGGCATGAAACTCATGTATACCTATAATCTACAGACGTACCATTCAATATAAACATTTTATAAATATTTATTTGGGGAGGAGGGAGGGGGCTCAGACATCGGATGTCGCATATCATTGACCCAAAAAATATATTTGGTGGATCTCGGATATCATTTAAACCCCCAAATATTTTGGAGGGACTCTGATATCATTGAGCCCCCCCCCCCCCCATATGTTGATGGGGCTCAGATATCATAAGCCCCCCCCCCCCCCCCCTCAAGTGTTTTTGGTGGGGCTCGGATAACATCACGGAGCCCCCCGATATTTGTTTGGGGCTCGGATAACATCACGGAGCCCCCCGATATTTTTGAGGGGCCCGGATATCATTGAGCCACCCCCCCCCCCCCCCAAATATTTCGGCCGGGCTCGGTTATCATGAGCCCCCTCCCCAATATTTTGTTCGTGCTGATGAGTTGAGGGAAGTGAATGCCGGAGATATTGACTTTGTAGCATTAACTCGGCAGCTAACAAGCCTCCAAGACGTGTGTGACGATGAGAGTAAACCTATCAAATATACATTAAAACAATCTGTGAGATTTTCAACAACAGTCCAATCTATAAGAGATCATTCTCAGAGGTGCACATCCTTCTTCTCATTTACCTTACAATCCCGGTTACAACGGCAACTTGCGAGAGAACATTCTCTGTCTTGAAACGGATCAAAACTTCTCTGATAAGTACAATGACCCAAAGAAAGCTCAACCAAAGCTTAATATTATACATATATAAATCTCGTAAAGATAAACTGAACTTGAAAACTATTGCCCAAATTTTGTTTCCAGGAACACAAGAAGACAAATTGGCACATTTGTCTGAGGCTGCATGAGAAGAAGAAAAGTCTGAAATTTTCGCCGCGATGACATAGACGAGGAACAGAGAATTTATTTTCAGGTGCAAATTAAAGACAAAGAAGGATCTCAGAATTATATTTTTGGGTGGTGCCCAATTTCAGTTTTTAAATATGTCCGATTATAGGCATGTGTGACAATAAAAGTTTTGTTTTTCACGTTCCTGGGGTATTATTTTTTCCATAGGTGTTAATTTGTGTTGTGTCATACTTAATAAAATAAATTGAATATCTTATAATTCAACGATTTCTTCAAGTAGGCCTACTTTTATTAATTTCTTCAACTGCTTAAAAGCAAGGCTACAAATGCTTTGTTATTGTAGAGCTGTAGTGTGAATAGGCTCCTTAGTAATTCACATTTATAGATTGGTGCACATCATTATGCTTGATCATCCTCTCCTATCTGTTTTTTTTTTTCATTCCTCTGTTAGTCATCCTTTATTTGCTACCTATGATATATGAATATTCATTATTTTCTTTTATTATGTAAAATAATGATCATGTAAATCCCTATATGCAAAATAAACACTGGAGGTTTAAAGTTGTAAAGCCCATGGCAGTTCAACACATGCAATCATGAAATAAGGGTGTCTTCATCGAAGTGTCTCTGTAAGTTTAGAACCACGCCCTGTGCCTACCCGCTCAGGCCACTCTACATTCAGGGGCGTTGCTAAAGGGGGGGGGGGGGTGTGGGGTTGAAGTCGGTGGTATTTTTTATGTCGG